AAAAAAAAAAAAAAAAAAAAAAAAAAAAAAAAAAAGAAGCAGGATTTCTTAATGTTAAGGTTTTGTTGTTGTTTGTCCATATTTTTGCTTTGAGGAATTGTTTTTGTTTTAGTGGTGAAGAGATAATGGGGGCAGGGAGCATTTTCCAGTACATAGATCTAGTAGTAATGAATTCTCCTCATCCAGGACTCATTATTTCTTTATTTAAAAAAAAATTAAGAGGGGAAATGAAAACAACAACAACACCTTTCCCTAAGAAATAAATCAATCGAAAGTCGGGGTAACTCAATTAACTACTCAGCTACTTGGTTTGTTTTGGCTTTCATGAGTTTGGGTTTGGTTTGGTTTGATTTTTGTTTTGTTTTGTTTTTCTCTTGAAAGGTTTTGATGATTTAGCCCGCAGGGCCCACATTCCTTACAATGTTCTTAGCCTGAACTTTTTGGGGAAAATCTGGGGCCATTGGTCCCACAGGAATGATGCCAGGGTATGCTCCAAGAGCTTCCCATAAGCCCTCACAGCCAGTAGAAGACAAAGTTAGGGCATGACTTCCGGTGTATGAGAAGATATAATCAAGTTCATGAGGAGGGGCTGTGTTTTTAGAGTGTTTCAGACCTGGATGATGTGGTGGAGACCCCAATAGCTGTATATGAGAGACACAAGGGCCCCACAGCAGTGAGAACCTGAAATGGGGCTTCTAAATTCTGTACCAGATTTTGGGAAGGATCCAGTAGTGTTTCCTGAAGGCCGTTTATTTATATACCCCTTCAAAATGTAATTTCCTTTCGGCCTCCCTTTCCCATCTGTGCTATTATTAACATCTCTCTTTAAATAAGCTCGTAGTTTTAGCCAAGTTCGTTGAAGAAGCAAACTCTGAATCAGTCCTGTGAATGGAAGAGTAACATCAATTGTTGGAAATAGGTCTCAACTCACTCACATCAGCCCCCTGGATATTAGGAACTGGACGGACTTAATAATCAAGACACCTCGTGGCTAAATTTTAGCCACAGAATCAAGCACCCATCTGGGGCTCTAACCCTGTTTCCTCCCTCTTTGTCAAGGGGTATATTAGCAGGTATTAGAGGGCTGTTGGAGCTATCTCCTGATCAACAGAGATGCACATCCGATTACCTGAGGATTAAATACTTGAAAGAGGATGTCATTTAAAATACAATGTCCACCCCACTTGTACTTCTCTGGCCCACCAGCAGGGCCTGTTCTTCAGTTACTGATGCCTAAACAGATGAAGGCTATGTCACATTCTCCTACCACCTCAGGCTGTTGTGACCTCTCCCATTGACTTCCTAAGTCTGTACTGGGTACTGATGCTTGGTCCTGTCACACAGAGGCACTGACAGTGGTCACCCCTTCCAAGCTGACAACGAGCTTTATTGTTGAGGGCCGCAGGAATATATCATAAGAACTCAGCTGGTTATGGCAAAGTCACTACCTGGAGGGATCAGGGAATTCCTCCAGAGGAAGCCAAATCCCAAGGAGTTTTTGGTGTTACTTGGCTTGTTATATATCAGCTGTATTCTGTTATGAAAATCAT